TAATTTTTTAATTTAATAAAAAAAATATTTTTGTTTAATTTCCTTGTTTTTAAATTTCTTCCTAAATGTTTTTTGCAACGCAATTAGATTTTCAAATTTGTTATTTATTTATAAATTGAATAAATTATTTTTACTTACATTTATTTAACTTTAAAAATCTTAACCNTGTAAGAAAAGCAATTAATTGCGTTTTATTTTTGGCTTTGGCAATTCAAAGGCAGATGTCGCTAATCGCCTAAGTTCTTCGAAATTGTCGAACTGGTAGGCACATACTAGTTAATGAACTAGTATTTTTTCTAACTGGTTTGGCTTTTCACTGCAGGATAAAACTACTCCAAGATAACGTGATTCAACGATTTTTGCAGGGAAGAATCAAACCAATACGCACACATATATTCAATGACACACGCACAGCGATAGATACATACATATATACTTTGATTATAACGGTGTATTACAAAATTAAATAATTAATTACAAATGTATAGGAGGTGAATGGATAGTTTTTTACAGTGTAGGGAATGGTTTAAATTTTTTTTTTATGTAAATGCACTACAAATTGACAATGGGCAATGGGAAATGGTGATGAAAAGAGAGTGTAATGTACGTGTAGATTATTAAATACATAGATACATATGTATTAAGAAACAAATATAAGAGTTCAAATTCCAAATATTTAAATAAATATTTACAATACATCAAGTGTTGGCAAGAAGTCTGTTTATTTGTGTTTGTCTATTAGATACAAATTTGTGTATGTTTTGCAATTTCGTGTGTTTCTGTGATTTTTACTTTATGCAATTTCTTTTGTTTTTTTTTTGTTGATTGTGCATGGGTGTGAGTGTTGTGTCGAATTTTTTTGATTTTCAAATAATTACTTTTTCTATGCACTGATGGTGATGTTAAGCTATCATCGACTGCATCCTGATGGCGCAAAAAGAAATTATAAATGCTGCGACGGCGATTAGCTCGAGGCGCTTCCACGAATATGCTACCGCTTTTTTTTGTTACACATTGTATTTGTTGATGTTGTAGTTGTTGTTGTGAGATAATTTTTTAGATATATTATAAATATATTTTTTTGGGCGTTGTAGTACGGTTTCGTGTGTGGCATTTTATGAAGTAATACAGAAATTATGAGAAAAAAAAATAAATTTAAGTGATATTGAATTATTTTAGATTTTGCTTAAGTTTTAAGCTGTTTTGTCCTAAAATTTTTTGATGATTAGCTCGCTTTTGTTGAGCTTATTTGAAATTTGCATATTTTTGACGAAAACTTGTTGGAATATATTTTATATATGTAGCTACAACACTGATTTCACTGGGTTAAACAAGATCACAGTTATATAACTTTTTATATGTACCTAATAAATATAATCACTACATACATTGACTTCATTATATTCAATTTTTTATTTCGTTAAAAATCGTTAGAACTCTGCCCGAATCGCGGCGTTCGATATCGAATGTAACTAGAATTTGAGAGCACGGCATTCAAGTCAAGGCAAGTGTCAATTTAAATTGTATTGGTGCGAAAAGAATTCGATTGGAAACGAGTAATCATTCGATCACGAATGCCGCGATTCGGGCGCTGGTGGTTTTCTTAGATGAAAAAAAAACAGGTGGCTTTTGAAATAATTTCCTTATAAATTTAGAGTTTTTTATGAGTTTCCTAGACAAAAAAGGACAAAGTTGCCAGATGAGCCAAGAACAGTTAACCGTCGACCTGTCAAGACCAACGTTATTTTTCAAAAGATAAAATTATTATTTTGACGACGGGTATACTCGCGCTGCGACCCCAAAAGGTCTATTGTGCTAAACCCTAATTATAGTCACTCCAATTTGAGCTTATCTAAGAAATTAAATTAAGCAAATTGGAGAGTTTCATGTTCCTAATTATGTATGGAGCAGATAATCTCTGTAATTCCGTCCACCAACCACCTAATGATGCACATAACCGAGAAACCGAAACCGGAGAACCGGGTTCTTAAGAAAACCGACCGATTCGAAAAACGGTTCTAACGGATTCCAAGAGAACCGAAAAGGGGTTCCAAAAGAACAGAAATTCGATTCCAAAATAATCGAAAATCCGTTCCGAAACAACCGAAAGTCGATTCTATAAGAACCGAAACCCCGTTACGGAAGAATCGAAACTCGACTCCAAAAGAATTTTTGTAAAAATTTGTATAACCCTTTTGTTAAGTTATTTCGATAGGGCCCATTTTCGTTACCACTATTTTGAGCACCGGAACCGGTCCAAATTCCCGATTCTTCTTGGAACCGGACTCGGCAGAACCGGTTCTTTAAATACTCGCACATCGCTACCACCTACAGAACTTGCAGTCCGTCTCTACTTGCAGTGCCCTGTCAGGTAGCCCGTAAGAGTTCTAAGACGCTCCCGGCTAAGTTCAAGAAGTCTTTCGGAGCTCCTCCATGCAAGCGCATTTGGGCTCCACGTTTTCAGCCTTTTCGATTGCGAAGTCTTCCGCTTGGAATATTGTTGGCTATGTGCCCTTGGCAGACTTTTCTGGAATTTTGGTCTCAGTAGGCCTGCCTCAGTACTCCCGTCGTGCATCTTCGATCCATCGATATACCATACTTGACACCTTTTGTCAATCATAGATAATATCGCTTCACTGCAGTCCCTTTCAGAAATTCTGACCTTGTTGTGCTTGCCAAACGATAATTTCAGTGTCTTGAGAGCCTCGAAGTGGTCCGAAGATCCCCACTCTACATGCCGTTTGCATTGGACAGGCATCCTTTTCAATCAGAATAGACAGAAACGGAATACCTGTAATCACACCAAGGGCAGCCGTAAAACCCACTTGTAGTCTTGTTGCTAACATTCGAGGGATGTGAATTCCAACTGAGCCTTTTGTCCAGAGTTACCTGTAAATAGTTCGCCTCTGCTGATAACGCAATGTCTTTCTCTGCCACGGTGGGCCTAGTCAAGTTGGTTTTCCTTCTTTTGGTGAATGGGACAATGATGGACTACTTCAGTGGGTTCATTGACAACCCCTTTGCACCACAAAAAAAAAAAGTAGTATGTCACAAAAAAAATTTGCTGAGGGTGGAATAATTGTTTTTATTCAAAAGTTAAAATGATGTTTAGTTTATTGGGTGGGACCTTTTCTGAGGATGTACTCAAAAAAGGAAACTCTTTTTTCGCAATTCCCAGACCAAAATTCAAAATATTTAATGATCTTTCATTCCCGAATCCAAATAACTTGTAAGTACTTGTATCACAAGGTTCATGTGGCAAGATTGTTAAAAGAGATAACTGGATTTAGTCTAACTTTATTGTAAGCACAATTTTTTCTATGGAAACACTTTGTGGGCCAAATATACACATTCATGCGGGAAGTTTTTGCAATCTAGTTATACTGTAAAGGATATTTTTAGAAAAAAACATGTGGGACATAAAATGAGTAACAGGATCCATGCTAACATTTTAACGAATAGATTTCCAACGTAACTCACAAAGGTTTATTCAAAAGACTACTTTCTATTTGTGCGTCAATGGTATAGAGTAATCAATTTTTAATTATGAGAAAATGTTTTCGATGGAAAAATTATTGAAAACCTATAAGTGGGTAAAAGTTTTTACGGACTCTATGCCGGGATACAAAATATCTTAAAATTACGTTGAATAACTGACAACGCTCTCTGGGCCACGTCGCATTCATTGATTATGAAGATGCGGTAAAAATACCCTTGATTGGCCAAGACCATCCATTAACACTATGGAACACCAAGTACAGCAGAACCTGTCTTATAGTTATCTAAATATCTTAATAAGCTGGTAATGTATGTTTGTATTCTTATAAATACGTACTGTCTTTTCAAAAAGTAATTAAGATAATTTTAATAAAAACATAACTAAAAACACTTATTTTCCATTACAACTGTCTACTTAAGTATTTCACGAATTGCTACATATGTAAGTCTACTCGCGCCGATATGCGTCGAACTAGAACATTAATTAACTCAACATTTCTTGTTGCTTCATCGTTGTTTGTTCTTTGCGCCTAACAATATTCAAAATGAATTTTCCAAATTTTGAAAGTTACGAAAATTCATTTTGAAGATCGTTAGGCACAAAAAATTTGTTAATTTCACTCCGAACATTATTTCGCATTTTACGAGTATTACGAGTAATCAAATTCAACACTCGAAAGTGTGTTACAAGTATTTTAATGGAACATAATCGAGTTTTAAACAAACAGTGAAGAGAGGACGTGTTTAAAGCCAAACGTGGATAGCTTTGAGCGTGACAGTGGTTGCTATGGATGAAGGTGTTATTGGAAGAGAAAAAAAAAAAATAGTCTCGCACATTAGGCTGCATGTCTATTGTGTAATTGTAATTGACAGGATTAAAGGATTTGTGACTTGTTTGCATTTTTCTTTTTTTTTCGAACAACAAGTAACTAACTCTGACTTTTAGGTACTCATATGCAAGTGTTGTTTTAAATTTTTATGTAGTTTTTGTTTCCACTACAAGCATAATTAACTAATTTTTCATTAAATATATTACAGCGCTAGAAAGTCGGAAGTATTCTATTTAAAATAAAAAATAATAAGTAAATAAATTATAAAAAATAGTTTATGCCACTACTTACAAATTGTACTCATCGAATTTGTTTTACGTTTTGTATACATATTGGTTGGTAATATAAACTGAAATATTTGCAAATTGTTGTTAAATTAATAGGAAATTGACAAATGCACAAAATTGTTTCAATCATTCAATGGAAGTTCTGTGTGAACATTTCTTTTTACAAGTATGTTGATAGTACGAGTATAATGTGAATGAAGATAAGAGCGAGTAAGTACAAAAGTATGCACTTATTTAGATTTATTATGAGAAATGCAAGAATGCAATCTGAATGAAGACCAATTTTACAAAGTCAAATTTGTAAAGATTACTTGATTTGCTTCTTTTTTTTTTTGTATGTACTAAGTTTGAGACATTTGTATATTTATAAGGCATATGATACGTATTAAGTATTAGCTATGCACGATTTTGAGTATTTAAGTACATGATTAGTTTTTTTTTGGTTTTTATTTATTTTTTGTTTGTTTTTTTTTGCTACTCTAAACTAGATTTATACTACCGCCTACAATTACCTCTTTCACAATCATTGAAATTTGCTAACAAATTTATATCACTTGACTGTGAGCCACTTCGTAAAACGTTTGAGACCATATCTGCGAGCAATGACTCATATGTTAGGGAGAGACAAGAGGACATTCTAGAAATAGGACTTAAGACACAAATTTTACATTTTTTTTTTTATAAAAACAAACAAAATGCTGTTGCATAAATGGGTGCTAAGTATTTGATATATAGTAAGTAAGTAAATAAGTATATGCATTTAAATTGTATTAGTTTCGTCAAAAATTGCAATGAGTAGATACTGCATTGATTAGGAATTTTGTTGAGTCATCAATTTTGAAAAATATACATAAATATTTAAAATTATTATAATCAGTACCGCTTGCCAAGTTCCTCGCTTTGCTGCTTGATGTCCTTCACAACATCGTCAGCGCCAGAGACCAACATTAGCGGCAGGTTGAGCCAAGGACCGGCTAGTTCGCTCAGATCGGAAGCATCAGAGGCGCGTGAGGATTTGCGTGAGGACGCACGGCTGGAACATTGAGTACCGCGACGACTGACCTGTTACGAATTTGAAAATTGAAAAAGGAGTTGCAATTTTCGCTGTGCGGAAAGTATAGTGTACACTGCCCACTTTTGGTTCATACACTTTGAAATATTTCTGCTTCAAGAGCGTATAAACTAAAGGTCGGCAGGGGTACTTAGTACATATATGAATTTGCATTTGTACATACTTGAAGATGAAAGAAATTGAGCGCAGACAATTTGGACTGCCATCCACCGGGACTTGATGTCTGCGTCATGCTGTCACCCGAATTTGAGCGTTCTTTCTCCTTCTTCATGCTGCAAGCAAATAAGATAGATTTTGGGAAAGGCATAGAATTAGACACGACACCAAAGCATAATTGAAAATTTAAATTTTGCATCATATCAGGTGTAGTAAAAAGAATTCCAGATTTTTCCATTAACTAAGTTTGGTTCCACTGGACGGCGCTCTCGGAAAAACATGAGATAATGTCTACGCTAGGCTAAAATTTGCCCTCTAATTTCGATAAAACACACAGAAATCAGATCCGACCGTCACGTAACCAAGCACGAAGTATGGGTGTCACCCAAGTTAACTCAAAAAAATCTCACCATTTCTGAAGCGAATGGTAACTGGCGAAGAAAATCGAAAACGGTCGTGGCCGAATCACGGAATTAACTGATAGGAGGGATTCACTGTGTGTTGCGTGGAATTGACAGGAAATCATTCACTATGAGCTACTCCCCAACGACAGTAACTACTCTTATTTTTGACCTTCACTTCAACAATCGTGCCATTTGAAGCAAGCAATCACCCCATAGCGGCTGGTTTTGGCCAATAGGAGATAAACTGTGCTCCATCAGGACAACGATGGGCCACACACAAAGATAGGGATTCGTCAGAAGCTCCAGAAGCTTAGCTTGGTTGGGAGACTCGTATGCATCCCCTTTAAAGTTTGGACCTGGTACCAAATGATTGCCAACTGCAAGTCCAGCCGATTTTGGAATATCTTGCCAAAAAAAAAAAAGTTTGAATATGCATTTGCGATAACTTCAAAATAAGACTTTCTTCTCTAACAAAAAAAAAAGTTGCGCAACAAACGTTGTTAGTGAATAGAGATTTTTACCTGGGACCTAAATGGCTGCCAATTCTAGAAGATTCTTCGATTTAAAAAAAAATAAAAATTGGCGAGCCGAAATCCACTTTAACTTTAGGCCTAAAACTTCAACGCCTATTTCTAGGGATTTTTTGTCTCAAGAGAAAATTTTTACTGGAATCCGCAATAAAATTTACACACTAACAAAAACACGGTTTTTGACACCTAAACGTAAGGTCCAATCCCGTATTCCTCGAACGAAAACTATGTAGTAAAACTGTCAAAAAATAAAAATTCGCTCAGAGCGAAAGAGTAACACTGAAAAGTACGGGATAGCTTTCTAGTAAAAAATGGTAACTTCTGAAAACTTCAACATAACCTACAAATTTTGATTGTAAATATTTGCTTATTTTTTATGTAATGACACTCAGCTCACACATGTAAATAACCAAAAAAATATTTTCAATTGTTTACAATTTGGTTTTCAGACACACTACAACTGATCGGGGAACTGGTAGCTTCTGACAGAGAGAGGACCTTATTTACTCTCTTTTTCGTTCTCTTTATAATCAAAGAACCCAGTACGAGATCGATTGCCAGTAAAATCTGGCTAATTCTGACTATTTCTGACTAGTCCGGACACATTTTCAGTGGTAATAACAACTATGTATACTTTTTAAATTTCAAATTTTTTATCTTCTTCTTACCGCTGATATTCGTGCCACGCATTCTGTATAGTCTTGGCCGCCTTCTCTTGTCGCTTCCAAATGCGCGTCGACGAAACAATTTCCAACTCTTTTCGTGTGGGGAATTGTTTCTTGAACTTCACGTCCATTTGTTCCTGCAGCTGTTTGAAGTTGTCCGTTTCCTCGACATGACCCAACACATGTTTGACTAGTGCGTGTAAAATATCAAGGCAATGAATTTTATTACCCCTCGATATCGGCAAATTGAATGAGACCAACGCCACAGTGTTGGGCTTCGAAATGCCAAGCGGTGGATCGAGCGAGGCAATGAAATCCGAAAGTTGACCGAAATGTATGAATTGTGTAGCGTGTGGGTCGTATCTGCAGTGAAATATGAAAAGAAAAAGTGTAAATGGAATTTAATTCAAAAATCGTGCATATCTGCATATATACATATATGTAAAGTACTAACTTGGACCATCTGATATAGAACATCTCCAGATCGTCTTCGACAATACCGATCTCTTCCTCTTGATGTGCCTGATTGAAATTCTCCAAAATAATTGCAATGTACATGTTAATCACAATCATATAACTGATTATAATGAAACTAGTAAAATAGGTGATGGCCAATAGGGGATGGCCGCAGTCTCCGTTCGTTTGTTTATTGAAGAAGGGATCGCAATCGGGTGGTTGAATCATCAGTGATTCCAGCACATCATTCCAACCAGCGGAGGTCATTAGCCGAAACAACAGCTGCATGCTGCGTCCAAATGTCTGAAAGTTCACCATATCATCTAAGGCGCCCTGCAGCTTAACATGGCCGAACAGTGACATGCCCAATATGGCATAGATGAAGGTGATCAATCCCAATAGTGCGCCAATATTAAATAGCGCCGGCAGTGAGACAACTAAAGCGAACAACAGTTTACGTATACCTTTGGCCGCTTTAATGAGACGCAGTATACGACCGATGCGAAAGACGCGAACCACACGCAAGAGGGTTGGGCTGATGGGCAAATCGATCATGATATCCTCCATGAGGATGCCGAAAATGGAGGCGAGCACAAGTAGGAAATCGAAAACGTTCCATGGCACAGTAAAGTAGTGATAACGCAAACCGATGATCTTGACGATCGCCTCTGTTGTTGTGGGAGGCGAAACGAAATTTGGGATTTAGTGCAAAACACAGTGGATTCGAGCATTAATAAAAAAAAAAACAAAAAAAAACAAATAATAAACAGAAACATGCAAATTGGTTTTTATTAATTAAATGAGGGTATACATACATACATATTTTATGCGTGTACGGTACTTACCCAGACCAAAGACGGTGGTAAAAAATGCATTGCTTACTTCGAGTATAAAAAACACAGAATGCGGTTGATTGTAGTGCTCGATACCCATTGTTAACATATTTAAAAAAATCAATACAAATATGGCTATTTCGAATCTGGTTTGTTGTTTTGTTGCATTCGTTATTGTTGTTGTTGGAGTTTCGTGTTTTTTTTTTTTTAAGTGTTTCATTGACGTTGACAGTTGACAGTCATCGTGTTTTAGTTTTATGTGTTTTTGTTGTTGTTTTGTTGTAGTTTCAGTGACGTATAACATGACGTGACGTCAGCCGTGGGAAAAGGGGGAGAAGAGTTATTGAAAAAAATAACACATTTTAGTTATATTCTTTGAAGGAAATATATTTTTAAATAACTTATTTACATAACAAACAAAAAATGCATTTATTGTTTATAATAGGAAATTCATATTAAAATTAGAATTAGAAGAAAAATTAATTGACTTAAAAATAATAAAATAAAAATCTGTGCAAATTAAATATATTGCAATATGAAATTGAAATACATATAGTATACTTGCATTATACTACTTGTGTGGAGTTTGGTTTTAACACTCAGTACCCTAATCAGCTGAAACTCCAATTACTCTACTCTAAATTCATTCTACATATGTATTTCATTTAATAACTTTACTAAGATGATTTGCCAAAAATAATTATGGATAATTCCTCAATAAAATTTATTAATTTTAGATCGTCAAAGTATGGTGGCCTAAGTAGGGTTGCCAACATTTTCTAAGATATATATAGTACTTTTTCAAAAAAATTGGAAAAACTATAGTACACTTCAAATATATATAGTATTTTGTTTAAAAGAAAAAGTAAACACGATTTTTAGTTGATGTAAAATTTTTTCCTGTGAATGCCGAAGTTGTTGGAATAGAGAGTAGAAATTAAATAATTTTAAGTAAATTTGTTAATTCTTTCTCAATTATGTTACATTTTTTGATTATAGCCTTTTTGGTTATAAACTCACAATTACCTTTTATTTTAAAGAATATTTCATTTAATTTTGTTATTTCAGTAAAACAGTCATCCATTTTAATACACATTTTTTAGTGTATATTATTGAAATATAATTGTATTTACGATTGAAGAAATATTGTATTTTTGCGTACTAAATTTTTTTCCAACAGTATATAGTACGCCGACGGGAAAAATAGTACAATATTATATATTATAGTACGGTTGGCAACCCTAGGCCTAAGGTGTCGCAACCTGCTCCTGAACAGGCAGGCATATTTATATCTATCTTCCACTTGCTCCTGGTAGACGCCATAGCAATACTTTTTTTCCAGCAATAATCGACTTGGTCCAATCAGACAAATTACTTCTAACAAGCGTCTACAAGGTGGCTCGGTTCTCACTGATATGTCCCTCTTTACCAAAGAGCAGAGCAGCATCTTGCTGTCCCACCAAACCACGTGGCAGGAAATCTAAAAAAGAAGGTTAAAGCTTAGCTTAACTTAGCGTTGTCCAGATTGCTAAGTCATTGTAAGTTGCTACGGCCCTAAATAACATAAGATTTGCACGACAGGGGTAATGGGGTAGTTTTCTCTAATTCACTGCACTTAATAAGACCAATCCAGCTGCCCTATTTTGTAAGCATCTACAATTAGAATGTAGTGGTTTACGTCACGCCGAGCATGTCGCTATTTTTTCGGATAGTCAGGCGGCTATTAAGGCCTTAGTCGAAACTGGTCAAGCGGTGTTGGACTCTTTTAAACGCAGTAATTAGCTAGCTAGATCTAGATTTAGTTTGGGTCGCTTGTCCTCGCAACATTCCCGGAAACGAGTCTGCAGACGAATTAGCCAGAGGAATCTTTATCCACAATCTTCAGAAATCGTATCAAAATTAGCGCGCGGCGGCAGGCTGCTTTATATCCAAACACACGCGGCCCGTACACCACCCTAAGAGAACACACAACTTATTCAGAAAACTCAGACCGAACGTTGAGAGGCTACTAACGATTCTTAATGGGCGGTTGACACCCACACGAAAATGCTTTACGAATCTCCAGGTTTAATGACAAGCAGGAATGCCATACTAGCAGCATATGAGTTCAAAATAACTCCCTGATATAAGCATCCACAATATACTCAACTTTAGCAACCCCCCTGGTTTGGTCTAGGAGGTATATGAGGAATATGGTATCAAAATTGCACTTAGCTGCTACTTGGGCGTACAAGTTTTTTCCGCAATTCTAACCTAACATAAGCTAAAAGATTGGTTACGTCATAGCTCAATATTGGATATACATATGGTCTAACAACCGAACTAGAGAAGCCTTCTCACAGCGTTGGGATGTGTTCTCCTTCTAGTGGAGTCTTTTTTTTAGCTCTGGTGGAGTGGCCGACGGTGTTTTATGCCTTCTTGTAAAGGATACAAGTCCAAATTAATGCAGCGCCTGAAACGCTTTGATGCGTCACGTTGTGAACTCTCCAAGTCCCCTCAAGGCATTTATTATGGCCTCAGGTATTATGGTTTTGAAGCCTTTGAAGCTAAAGGGCGATATACGTTACTGTTGACAGTGGGAGAAAAGTGGGAACTGACCATAATCTCAAGGAATTTAAGCACACAAAGGGGAAGAGTTAATAAGGCTGAGATTCTTGAAATACGTGTGTGAAGCGTTGGCTTTGGCGACAAAAAAAAACTCAAACAGCCCTCCAAACTGTCGTATTTAAAATAGGCTCTGTACATGATCGAGATCACTCATCAGCTCATTGCGCGGGTATGCATAAGTGGTTGAGCATGTTTTTCCAAGAGTTTTTGTACACAGGTTTTTTAATAGTAAAATTACACCTCGAAGCTTGCCTTTAGCTGCCGTTATCACTATTTTTCATTGTCTTTCAAGGCACGAAATTTGGGTAGGTCCCAAAGTAAGCACCTCTGATCACTCGGCTAAGTTGACAAACCGAGAGTTCATCTTTGTGTTATTGCTCCTTATACAACCTGATAGCCTCTGACTTCGGATAATTCGGATAAGATGGCACAACGCCGAAACCGGTTTGTCTCCAAACCAAATTTGACAAGGGATGACGGAAAATCGTTCCACATTACATCACACTCCTACCCTGTCGGAAACACCAACAACGAAAATGAGAATTCGTATATCCTCTAAGTAGGGGAGAGGCGGTACAGGCAAATGATCATAGCTTTAAAATGTTGTAAACTCTAAGAACAACTAAATGTACTAAAAATCAACAAATAATTTTAGTGATTTGCCAAATACAACAAGCTACTAAGTAAGAAAAGTAATACAGGGTTAAATCAATCAGGAATTAAGCAAAGTGAATGTATCTAATATGAAACAAATTCTATAAACATCGAGCAACTAATACGCTTGCAAACTTAAAACATAAATCAGCAAACAACAATGAGAATATGAAATGGCCTTTTCACAATGATGATTTATGCTCGGAAATCTATTGGTTTCGTCTCTCAACTAAACGGAGATCATATGGAAAGGTGTTACATACAAACATACTGGGAAGTGTGACACTACAAATAAATAAATACTTTTTCATAAGACCACTAATATTTTGAATGGATTTATGTCATTCCCAGATAGTGTAATCAATACAAACACTCACAGGATCGGAAACAGTTCCCATACAATTTATGCACATTTAAACAACACTAATATTGAAATACGAGTACTTATGGTAGCTGGGATTTTCACTACATAGTAATTACTTAAGTAGTTAGATAGTGCTTAGTAGGTACTATGTACATACATAGATAGTACAAAAACAAGTAAAGGGTTTTGGGGTCTTCTACGCTTACAGTTCTCCCAAAGTAGGAAACTACAAACTGTAGAATACACCGCAACAATCGGTTCATAGAGTGGAGGCACTTACTCGTAAATAGAGAAGAAAGCAAGTGTTTAAATAATTTTATCACCAAATCATTCTTCGAACTCATTCAGCTACGGTTAGCTAAATTTGTTTTTGGATGTGTTGTATGTAAGTAGATAGATACGAGTATTTGGTAAGTTATGCACACAAAAGTTATGCACTGTAGCAGTAAAACCGTAATGCACAGGTACTATATTATTTACACATGGAATGTACCCTAACTATGTAAGTATGTATGTATATGATTATTAAACGGTAACACTTTTTACCAAAAAATTGAAGAAAACCACTTTGAAAGATTATAAGCGGTTTCGATGCAAATTACATAAGTACGCATTACGAGTACTCAAAACAAAAAAAAAAAAAAAAAACATTGCAATAAGTTTAACGTGAGTAGGGTTAGTAGTCAGATAGAAAAGTTATGTTAAGTAGTTAGGTATGTTAAGGGCTTAGACACGAGTAGCTTGAAGATTCTTATTTTTTTTTTGTGAGTAAACTATGTTGTATTAAGGTTATGTGAGTTAGAGAAAGTGAGAGAGTGTGAAAGAGCGCACAGGAAAGGCGTTGATTAAGAGACAGGTGAGTTTTATGCATTTCTATATGTTTGTATGAAGGTAGTTAATGCGGTGTTACTGTACTTGAGCAATTCTAGAGTAAATAGCGACAGCTTTGCCAAATAAAACAGTTACCTTAAAAAAAAAAATATTTAAATAAAAAAAAACAAATGTGTATCAAATATAAATATGTATGTAAGTTAGCAGCTATAGCTTATCAAAAGAAAAAAATTAGTCAAAATCAAAATTTAAACTGTATGCAGTTTATTTTGTATAAATCATACTTTTAGCATTTGATCATTACCTTCTCGAATTCGATAAATCATAAAACATTGCTAAAAAATGATTTATTGGTCGCTTAATGACTTTCTGTGGTTTTTTTCGTCCCAACTTTTTCATGGCGGTGTAATAGTGTTTTTGAGATTCGGTGAGAAACATTTCCAACACTCCTCCTTCATACTATGGAACGATGAAAATAGATTTTTAATATTTACACATAAACACCATAAATGTTTTTTGTTTTGTTTTTTTTTTTCTTAGAAAATCTTAAAAATTCGTATGCGCGTGTGTGCTGTTAATGTCAATGTTAAGTATTCAAGTGTGGGTATGTTAGTATGTATGTATGTTAACATTTATACACTGAAAAAATATGAAAGGCGAAATTACTTTTCGGCAAAAGTTGCCGCTCTTGCCGAAAAGTACTTTCTTAGATTGAGTTTATGTTTTATTTGATTTGTTTTTTGTTCATTCTGTGTTGTCATAAAGTACTGCAGTGTGTATATAAATAATTTTTACAACATCAAATTATTTTGATGCATTTATCAGATAGGTTACATTCTCCCAGCGTATATGTGTATTTGTATATGTTTGTGTTAATGTCGATTAAAAAATTTACAATTTATTTATTTATGAATTGCAAAAATCGGTTAATACCAAACCTGCTTGTCATACGCCTTGGTCCAGCCACACTTACCTTCTTCTTGAGCATATTGAAATTATCGATAATAACTCCAATGAATAGATTGAGCGTAAAGAATGAGCCGCACACTATGAAGATGACGAAATAAATGTAGGCATACAAATTGGCCTCGCGCTGCGGCTGCAAATCGACGCCGCGCGCATCCACTGCATCGGCCATCACCTCCATCCAGCCCTCGAAGGTGGCCACCTGCAGCAGCGCCAAATAGCCCATGCCTACGTGATCGAATGTGATCTTCGAATTGATCCAAGTATAATTCTGCTTGATGCATTCGGCTCTGTCGTTCACTTCCTGTTTAGTAGTTAATAATTTTTTTTTGCATCAGAATGAAAATAAAGTTAATTAATTTATAAAATTTTTTTAAAACATATATTTGCTAACAAAAAAAAAAACAAATTCCTATAATAACAATGTATGTATAAAAAAATGTTTAAGTGATATTTTAAAAACTATGTAACACAAGTGTGTTGTATGTAAAAATGTGTGTAAATTTACGTTTGTATGTGTACGAATTTTTTGTCCAATTTCTTTTACTAACCGTCACTGGCAGCAATTCACCATCGTCGTCAAGGCATTTGAAAAATTTACCACCGAAAAATTGTACACCCATTATGGAAAATATCAACCAAAAGACTAAACAAACTAAAAGTACATTAAAAATTGACGGTATTGCATACATGAGAGCATTTACTACAATTCGCATTCCTTGCCACCTGGAATAGAAATAAAATGAAACAGATTCATAGATTTATGGGGGGATATGCGTTACATATTTACATATTTGTTATTGTTTTTTTTTTTATTTTTATTTTTTGATGGTTTAGCGATTTGATTGAGGTATATAGAAAGGCGCTCAAATGCTTAAGGATAGTTGTGGAGAGAAAACTCAAAAGCATTGAATTTAACTTAAAAATAGCACAAATATACACCAACAACATTGATTTGGGAACAAACATAAAAAAGTGACAAGCATCAGTGATCAGAGGGTAATAATTTGTAAATTTTTTTGCTTATATACTTGTGGTCTTGAGCCCCCCTTTTTATAGACTACAAAACACTGATGCAGGACTGAGGACTAAGGAGTTCAAGAGAAAAGTTTCGTGGTTAAATTCTCATATTACTTCAGAAAAAAAACAATTACAATTTCGAGGCAATTTCGAATTTTTTCCCCAATTTTTCGGTTACACCTATATATTCAGCAATAAAAATTCTTTGTTAGCAAAAAATGGAAGAAGCAACAAAGTCCAAATTTTTTTTAAACATTTCTACTGGAATAATCATAATACTTCCTTTGCAAAAGTTTAATGATTTGTTGAGAATTTACTGGCATTTTGTTGGTAGAAACTGAAACCTGGTGGTTAAGTACTAGAACGGGTTACTTGAGTTCAATAAGCATTGTAACAAAACAAACTGTCTCCTCGAGACAAAAAGGTCGATATATCATACTTTAATATCTGGCCGTAAATGACAGATATGTACGTCGAAAAATTTAAAATGGAGACCCCCACGTTCGGCGAAAAAATATCGAAATCGCCTTCGAATCGAAATACTTCTTTAACAAAAGTTTAATGAATTTTGGCCAGCTTTAATTTACTGCCATTAGGGTGGTAGGAATTGAGATCTGGTGGTTAAGTACTATATCGGGGTACTGGAGATCAATAAAATTTCGAAGCAAAACAATTTTCTCTGCAAGACAAAAATATCGATATATCTTGCTTTAAGATCCGACTGTAAACTTTTTTCTGGTACGGTCTTATAGTACTCACACAATATTACCTTCTAATAACTGATCTACAAATTTCAAGTTATATACACATGGATTTTTGCATAAAATATTAGGGTTCATAATAAGAAAGTAATAGCAAAGAAGACATCAATGAAAATGTGGTATATACCACATCTGCATGTATTTACGTACAAAGCGATAAAAATATTCTTGAATCAATAGGTTAACATTGCGTTTCTACCATTCTCAAATTGCACAATTTCGATACTCAATTTCAATTTTTTCCCAAAAGCTGTTTCATCTTGTTTTGAACGAATATTTTATTGAATTTTTTGTACGCTTATCAGTCATGAATTTTTTGATCATAAATTCATACACTGTAAGAAAAATTTTTGAATCGCATTCATAAAGTTAAAAGCAAATTTTTTTCAATTTCACCCAAATTAAGACTCATACAAAGGCATATCAAACAGGTAGTAGCATTAGAGCAACAAAAAAACATTTGCGGGTATTTTGTTGTTGCTTCTGCTATCGAAAGTGCCTAAAACTGTTCTGATAAAAAATAAAATAAAAATTAATTGGAAAAAATTAAAATTGTTGCAACTTTCTTTCTAAGCAAATTTTCTTGCTTCGCGAAGTATTGATCCATCTTTTTGCAAGGCCCAGTCATCAGCAGTTGTGCTGCTGAGTTGGGCGAACGTTCCAATAGCTGCTATTTAATCGCTTGTTTTATATAGTAGATTTTATCAATTTGGAATTTTTGTGAGAAGAAATTAAAAATATTTGACATTTTCGAGACCAAATAATTTGGAAAAAAAATCAAATCAGCTGCTATACTGATACTACTTGTTCAATGCGCCTTGACTCGACCACAATTTTAATTGACAGCTTTTTCTATGGCAAAATTGACAATCGTATCACAATATGAGTTCAAATTGAGAAAAGTGACCAAATTGCGCAATTAAGCACTCGTGGAAACACACTATTAAACTTCAATGAGTAAGGATTTTATTTTATAAAAATTTATTTACGGTTGATCCGAGAATCCTCTCATACTCGTAAATCTATTACAAATCCATTTCAAAAGTATTATGTATCGTTTTTCAAAGTTTAGTAGTTTACGACGAATGAGTCGCTGGTTTCTTTGAAAGTCGCACAGTGGTGCCAAACTGGAATTTACTGTTAATATTTAAATCGATATGATATATTTTTTTTACCGAAAGCTAATACAATTTGAAAAAAAAATTGTCGATTCCGATTTTTAAATTTGTATTTGTTTATATTATAATAACTTGTTGAAAATAATTAGAGTTCCCCCAAACGAAAAAAAATCACATGTACAAATTTAAATGTTATAAAAAAATGTTTACAAATTTTTAGAAAAATTGCTAGTTTCAACTGATTAAGATTTTGGATTGATTTTTCATAAAATTTTTTATTAGCAGTCATTCCATATAAAATAGATTTCTAGCACACTGTATATGTAAAAAATGCTTAGCACCGTCCCTGGGCTATTCCCTGTGGAGTACAACATCGTTCTAAATACTCGCCGGGACTTTTCACTGTTCGCACGGATCTGAGAGGAGCAAAATTAATTTTTCTGCCTAAATTTGGCCAAGAATCCGGGCTTATTGACAAAACTCTACGACTTTTAGAAAACACCACAAGAGAAAGTGTAGTGGGGTGAAATCGCTTTATCTCGATGGACGCCAAGATTGAGCAATTGGCAGCGTAGGAGATCAGTGAAACACCCTCGGGTGGCTGAGAAAACTTCGAAATATAGAAATTAAATAATAGCGCGATAAGGACACCAAAAGGCCGCGGGGACTCCTTGCTTAATACGTCGTGGGTACGATATTTGAGCTCGAAAGAATGTGCAGCGTGCCATAATAATTTTTAAAGCACTGTATCTGAACCGTACATATGAACATTGGGCTTAGGACTCAACTCACTTCTTACGCTAGCAGGGTTCGATTTCTTCGCACTCGTAAAAAGTCTTGCTATTGTATTTTTTTACACATAACTATGTTTACCGCTTTGTACACACAGCAGAAAATACGAGTATGTAGTTAAACATGCTAAACAAAAAACTGTAATAAAATATCAAAAACAATAACAAAGGATAGCTCAACGACAGGGATAGTGGTGTTGAAAAAATGAGGATTTGTGTTGAAGTCTGTGTGCCGTATAGCGGTAGTGAGTACATACAAGTGTGGATCATACATAAATACATGTAAACAGGAGTGAGGTGCAAGGTGCGGGCGGACTCATAGACACTTATAGCGGATAAATACATAGTAGGATTCAAACTGTAAACTATGAGTGGGACGCAAAATTTGGCTAGGCGAATTTCCCATTTGGAAGGCAAAGTGTAACACGAATTGCTCTGTGTTTGCAGCACAAAAAGTTTTTCATAAATTTCTGGTATGTAGAAAAAAATCGATGATGTATTTTGTTGTTTGGTTAATTTTTTTTTTTTGTAATTTTTTCCACTTTTTGTGTGCAAATACAACTGTACGCAAATTTTAATCAACACAATTATCAACTCTGATTGGGTACGATTTCTACCTTTTGAATTTCGACATAAATATTTGGTAGGAAACAATGGCTGCCTAGTAGGAAGTATAGGAATTACGGTACACGTCAAACATTTACACCCAAATTCATAAAAAAATAAAGAAAACTTCAACTGCTTTATAAATCGAAAATTTGTATGAAAATGTCACTTTATAGAGCTCTATAAATCTATTTTATTTTTTATGAATAAGGCCATTACTGTTTTAATAAATTGTATTATTGTTTCTTTGAATAACGGGACCACTAAGTAAGTTCGCATGGTTGCCATTCAAATACAGGATTCTCGTACAGCTATACGGTACTTTTAGGTGTGGCTTTACTTTTGTTATTTCTATTCGAAATTCATAAAGAAGACGATATTGTATTAAACACTTCCAAATTGTAACTTTTTTT